TAAAAAATAGGCGAGATAGGTTGGTAGGACACCTTCTCAGGCATGAAGGTCTAGTCAGAGACATATTAGAGGCAGAAACAGGAGTTAGGAGGGGTAGAGGTAGACCTAGATTAGATTACTGTTAGTTAAGGATGTGGGCTGTTCTAGTTTTAGGGAAATGCGATGTTTAGCTCAGGATAGAAAAGAGTGGAGGTACGTGTCCAACCAGTCTTAGGACTGACGACCTTATAATGATGATGATGAACCCCTATTTGGATGGATCTAAGCTGCCATGCCGCGGCATTTAAGCTTCTTAACCGGAGGGGCTTGAAACCGCCCCAAAACTCATCTAGTAGTATTATATTATCTACCCCTCTTTACTCCTATTTCTGCTTCTAACATGTCTTTAATTAGCCGTTCGTGTCTCAGTCGGTGTCCTACCATCCTCTTTCTTTTTCGTGATTGACAACAATAGCACCCTCTATTGGTGTAATTTTTCCAGCAGGTACCTCCTCATTTATCTATTAATTATACCGTTTCATTATTATATTAATAACAAAATTTATATCGTAAACGTTTGAAATTTTTGGTTGCTGATTCAAGTTACTTTTTTTTTGTCGCGAAATTCCAAACCCACACTTAAACTTCTCGTTGGAAATGGGTAAACATATTGATGATTATTCTCTTGTCTTTTATTTTATTTTTTTCACTGTCCAGTTTTTATGTTTACAACGAAATACGACTTACGTCTCGGTACTGATGATTCATTGTGGGATGATCAATCCATAATAACATATAACATTTACGAATTGTTGCACAATGAATCAGCAACAAAAAGCTTAATTGCTAAGTTGAAAATACAGATTTGTTTACGTCTGTCGTGTATATGCATACCTGCATGTAATTTTTATAATAATCGTAACTGTAAATCTGGAAGAGATCCACCCAACATAAAATAACGATATGAGGCAATCGAATTTTTGCAATTACAAGTCTTTTGTTAACTTTTAAACGCATTTAATTAACCCAAAGCTTGGTTTATACATACAATTACGAGAGGGCGTTTTTAAGTTCGCAGAATGGGGGGTAATAAGTGGAAATAAAAGTATGAATTTATTGTTCCTTTTCAAGATAATCACCTGCTACTCTTATACATTTTTCCGATCATTCAATTAACTTACGTATACCTTCGAAAAAAAATCTTTTGTCTTTGTCTGAAAAATATGCCGAAACTGCATCCTTTATTCTTTCGTCGCTCGAAAATTTCTTCCCACGAAGACTTTTTTCAAGTTTGGGAGTAGGTAATCATAGCTGGGAGCTAGGTCAGGACTGTAGGGTGGGTAAGTCAAAATTTCGAAGCCCATCTTCTGCAGTTCAGCTATCCTAACACGGCTCTTGTGAGTATGCGCGTTGTCATGCAGAGAGAGGACACCTTTGGTCAATTTTCTTCTTTTTTTCTTTGACTGCTTCCTCTAACCGCTCTGCGGCCGAAGAATAGTATTCTTCTTTATCTTTATAATCGATCAACACGATCCCTTTTGAGTCCCAAAAGAGTGTCGCCATGATTTTCGCAGCCTACTGTGACGCCTTAAACTTATTGGATGGTGGTGTGTCTATTTTGTGCCACTGCATAGAGTCCTGTTTGGACGCGGGTCCGTAATGAGGAACCCAATTTTCGTACCCAGTAACAATTCGAGTCAATAATCCATCTTTATCTTCACTACAGAGGTCCATCTGATACTCCTACCATTTCTTCTTGTTCTTTCTTCTTAAGTCGGGCATCTTCCAGTATTAATTTTTCGACTTTTTGAATTATTTCCGGAGTGGTCACCTCGATCGGCCGGCCTAGCCGTGGATCGTCCTCAAATGAGTCCCTGTCTTGCTTAAAGAGGGTATGCCACTTGTAAACCATGGTTTTACCTCGGCAAGAGTCCCCATAAGCAGATGACATCTCTTCCAGTATGGATTGAATTGATTTTTCTTGTTTGGTAAGGAACTTTATAACAGTGCGGTACTCGATTTTCTCAAAGACTACTGGGCTAATTACGATAAAACTGGGTATTTATACTAATAATCAGTTGCTTAATTCCTACCCATTCCGCGAATTTTGAAAAACGCACCCTCGTATCATCCATTCAATCATTAAAATGTGAAAATATAAAAATAATGATAGAGTACGTTGCGCATTGCTATTCAACAGTCGTTTTCGTTTTGTTTCAGATAAGTTCGGTTACTCGAAATGGAAAATTGTCCAGACAAATATTTGCACAAGAAATTTAAGAAGCAATTGAGCTGTGAACCAACCAATAGTAGTAGGACGCAAGATGGAAAAGAAAATTCTACGAACACAAGTCGCGAGATCAATTTCAATAGAACTAATAGAGACCTGTTACAGGACAGGGTTAGTGCAAAAAACGACGAATCTGATGATAGTGTGCCAACTTTAATTAAAAAGTCTTCCATATCGTCGCTGGTAGTGTCAGTTAGTGTGAATGAGGGTGCCAGTGAACAAGTGACTGTTGACAGGGCGTTTGCGCCCAAATCACCTCCACCACCGTCAGACAACGACAGCATATCACGTGCTTCAAGGCCAAATAGGGAACCAGCATTATCAAAAACTAATTTTGATACGAATTCGAATTTTTCGCACATTTTACCCCCATCAGTTGTAGATCAGTCTTCCTCTAGTTTCATCGACCAGACCAAAAGACCCGTGTACATATCTCCTCGCGAAGAGCAACAGTCAGAAAACAAGGAGGTCCCTCCGACAGAAAAAAGTTCCGGGGGAAAATACATATGTTCCTATTGTAACTTGGCTTGCTCGAAACCAAGCGTACTACAGAAACACATTCGAGCTCACACGAACGAGAGGCCGTATCCGTGCCTCAGTTGCGGGTTCAGTTTCAAAACCCGATCGAACTTGTACAAACATTGCCGTTCAAGGACCCATGCGAATCGGGTAATGGGCAACAAAACCCAAGAGGTAAATAACGAGACTGAAGAGTGTCATAATCGACCGGACTTGGAACAAAACCATCTTGAAAACAATACCGCTTTGGAAATTGGTAAGGAAAATACCGACATAATCGAAGAAGAAGATCGAAATAACGAAAACAAAATGCTACAGGACGTGAAATCTAAACCGTACAAGCCGAGGTTTCACACGAAAGTGTTTTACGAAAACACCAACGAAGAGAGCTCGAAACGAAACGTACAAATTAAACACTCTTCCAATTCCGATTACCTTTCTTTGCATATCAACGAAGTTATTAATAAGAATAACGCGATAGTCAACTCTAGCGAGTCGTTTCTTCTACGTAAACGTTCCACTGAAAATATACCAGACAGTGATAATATTTATCACCATAAAGCGACTTCTTCTTACTTTCCTCAAAACATGAATTTAACTGCCGAGGAGAGAAACAGCGACGAACCCCTCAATTTATCAAACAAGAACAGGAAGAGATGCGTGAGCGAAGTCGCCGAACCGGCGGCTCACAAGAGCCTGATCAAAGAACTGCTTTTAAAAAATTTGTACGCAGATACAAATATGCAATGTCCCTATTGCAAGATGATATTTCAGACTGTGACAGAACTGGAACTGCATAAACTGAGGAGTTGTAAGGGATTCACGAAAAGCGACGTCGAATATAACAGAAGTAATTCTGTTAATGTCGCTTCTTTGCTGACGCACAACAAGAATGCCTTCGACAGTCTTTCGCAGTTTAGCAGTCCGTTTGCTTTAAAGTCTCCGGGACCTTTTTTGGGCAAAACAAGGTTGGTGGAATCGGACAAAGGGAAGTCATTCTCTTTCGACGATAATCTGCCGGCGAGTGCCCATTTTTCGTCTTTTCTCAGTCCGAACGGTTCGTTAAAGACCACCCAACGGTACTCTCTATCGCCTTTGACCATCCAGCACGAAAAAGATAAGAAACCACCTGTTAAATTATTCGGCGGTGAGGTGAAAATCACTCAGAAATCGGGCGAAACGAAGAGTTTCAAGATTGACAACCAAGAAGCGGACAGTTTCGACGTGAACACCAATTTTATAGATTACGGCGGAAAACTGCGTGAAAATACGGTTGTAAAATCAAGTTTGCAATCAGGCGGAACCGTTCTACAGGGTAAACCGAATTACAGAAAGGAAGATTCAACCAGGTCTTCGCCTGAAGTGATTCGGGTATACGAAACAACCGCCTTGTCTCCAAGTATCGACGTATCGAACTTGGAGAAGAAAAAATTCAATTTCGAACGAGGACATCACGATTTGCCAGCGAATGACCAGTCCAAGATAAATAATAATAACAGGGAACCGGCCACGCGGCCGCCAGTAACTGACGTTACCGGAAGTTCAAACTTCAAAATTAAAACCACCACACCTACCGGTCATTCGTATAAATATACAAATATTATGGATTTCAGCCAAAAAGCTGCTAAAATGCTAGCGCCAAACTTGAAGCAGCCGAACCTTGCCGTTCCTGGCATTCCGATTCCCAACAGAGTAGCTTTTGTCCCGAATACTTCTTCGCCGACGGTGGATACCAAACTCCAGCAAACTTTTTTTGATCAGCCTAATATTCCTGCTGAAAACGACCGTGTTTTTCATTCAGCCATCAGGCAAAACAGTTCAGATAACGATCAAAGAACTTTCATACAAAAACAGCACCAACACCTGTCGCCTCTTCCATCTGAAGTAATGTTATCGCCACAAGTACTTGGTTCTAATTTGTGCAATCCCGTCAACTTATTCGTCGACGGGAAAGTTATTAGATATGTCCCAGGAATTCCAGGACCTTTCGCAGGCGAACCGATGGTCCCTTCGAGAGGTGGTGTCATTAGCCAAGCCTCTTCGCGGATAGTACCTAAAAGTGTCATGCGATCTCCGAAGTCTAAACAAGAACCTAGTCTTTCTAATCCGAATAAAATGTTATTATCTGAAAAATCGCCTATATCTCCTGTAGTCCTGAACAGTCCAGTCAAGAGTCAGGATTTTCTTTTAATGGAAAAGAGGCCTATAATTGAATCTAACGATAGATACGCCAGATCGCCGAAAATGGATAAACTAGAAATAAAAGTCAGTGAAAACAAAATGACCACAGAACAAAAATCTCCTTCCAGGGTATCTGAAGGAAGATCTCCGATTCCACCGTCAAAATCATTGGAGGTCATAAGGGCTTCTAATTCTACCGCTCTGCCTTCCTCTTCGGAAAGCCAGCGAAAATTTACACGACCCAATACTTTGGCCTTAAAACCAAGCATTTCAACTATGAAACAGCACCATGGATTAACTCCAACAATGTTTAATCAGATTCTGATAAGCCCGGAAACCCCACGGGTGGCCAAAAAGTATATTCAGCACTTTCTCAATGGAAATTATTTTAGTTATTTGGGCTTGAAGAGTTCCACTAAACCCACTTACTGTACTTTAAACAAAACGCAACCTTTTTATGTGCCGCATTTTAAAAAACTTAGCATGTATTCGGAATGGAGACAGCAGGAAAGTAAAACTGACGAATTATACGTCAGTGCTTACGATTCTCGTCAAAAACAACAAAAGTTTACGACTGCCGGAAAGACTGCAACCAATTTGGTGGTCCATTCCAGTTATAAGGTAAATACTGTTTTTGTCGTTTTATGTAATGTACTCTGAGTTTTACAAATGGTGAACTTTAATCCTGTTTTGTATATGTGTAATATTCTAAATTAATCGTATTATCGAATTAGTGATACCCAAGTATGACGTCATTGTAAATAGAATTTGTTTTAATGTGTTCGTTAATTAATAGAGTTTTTAACTTTTCAAACTTACAAAATTTTTAAGTACGCTTTTTTTTTTAATTAAACATATAACGCAATTCCTTTTTTTTTTAATTTCCCACTCTGATGGGTTTTATTGATGTTTTTAATTAATTAACAAGGTCTTCAGTAATNTGGTTTAATTGATATGTTGTGGATTGTTTCAGAGATAGGCCAACTAGTTATCTCTATTTAATTAAAAACTTGTTAAATAAGATAGCAAACTATTTTTTTATAAATGTAATTTAACTAGTTCATTTGTTTTACTAATTACATAATGTTTGATGTATATAGATGGTTAGATTTTAAATATGTTCTGATATTTCACATTAGCTTAGGGTTGCGTGTGTTTATATTACGCACTCAACTTCATAAAAACCACCCATTGTCTCATATAACTGCGTATTTAATCGATTAATTAATTCTAACTTAATACTAATAAATAAAATCCATAAAAATTACATCGTAAGTGTAATAAATTCGATAAGGATAAGAGCGTGCTTGTGATTAAATCATTTCCACGAAAGTACCCATTATATAAGGCATTTTTAAAATTATCAAACAGAGAAACAAATCTTAGATATTTTTTTTTAATATTGTAAGATATACCTAAGTATTCAATTTTCTTTATACATACATACAGTAGAATCCACTTATAATGGCATCGAAGGGAAACACGTCAAACAAAGCATAGTCTTAGAAAATAAACAACTTTCTATTTTGGTTAGTTATTTAGTTTAACAGAGAGAAAAACTACAAATTGTATGTATCTGTTAACAGAAAAAGAAAAAGACGATGAATTGTAATATCAATATACATAAGAAGGGTCAGAAAAATGATCGAAAATGTTATTATTAATCATTTGGGGTCACTATAGCCGGATATGATTTCTTGAGAATCAGTCATAATAAACGATATGTCATTTTAAACGGAGCCATTATATCTAAACGTTCCTATAGATAATTTAATATGATAACCAAACATAACACTGCAATTACTTCGTATTAAGCTCTTGGTCAGTATAGGCGGAGTCATAATAAACGAATTCCACTTATTATGATAATTTGTTTCTTAAAGCAAGTCTCTTATTAGCAAATACTTAAGATCAAAGATATAAGTATTAAAATATGAAAATAATCATTAAAAAAAAATATGCAGACCAAATACGTAAATAGTAATGGCTTTTTAAATGCCATGTAATTAGAAGTACTCATTTCGTACTTTACACGAAATACTTAACATTACTGAGTAAAATTATTGTAAGAGTATTTTCTGACGAGGTACTACACTCCAAAAACTTTATGGTTTGGCTCAGATGTTAATATATCAGTCAGTACAGTAAGGAAGCTATTGCTTTAAAATAAGCGGTTATTTCAAAATAAGTTATAGACTACGTGATGAATTATAAAAATCCACGAGTTACCTAGAGGGTTTTGAAAGTTTACATATTGTTTATCGTATAACACGTTCATTAAAGTGACCGTTTATTATTTAATACTGCATCAAACAACGATGGCAAATGACATCCTTATTAAAGGTCCAATTATATTCAGATAACTGAAATAACGACCAAACAAGATGAGGTTGTTATACGTCGATGGAAATTGTAGATAACACGGCGTCCATGCCTAATTACCATTCTTGTCTTTTGCTACAGAGTAATTTCACTTGTTCAATAATTACAATTTACTTTGCATATGACAACCTTGGGTAGTTTTGCTGTGGACTTTTAGTCGAGGGTGTCCATACATATGTTAAAAAAAAAGAAGGGTTGGTAGGCAGCAGCAGTAAATTTATTAATTATTATACTGGATAAAATTAACTGAAAAAAGGAATGCTGCAACTAAAATCCCTCTATCTCAGGTCTATCAAGGTCCTCTTCAGCCGGATATGGTGATAACAAGTGGCCGACCCACGGCCTTTTTGATATTTGGAGTAAAGTATTTTCAATCCCTTATAATGCTCGATATTGCTCAGCTTCGGTGGGTGTGTGGTGTTACGGGTCGACCACCGGTCACCAAATACCAGTATGGGATAAGCGGGAATGTACTAGGATGTTCTCGAATGTCAAGGATCCAAGATTGTCCCGAAGTAGATTGTTCTAGAGTAAACTGGATCGGACAAATCGAGAACGTTCTGGAATGTTCGAGGAGGTTTATGTGTAACTTGTAAACCTGACTATTGGCACTACATATATTAGGACAATTTCATATATTTCTCCAGTTGATAAGGGCATGGGTTTGTGAGTCGCCCATCGCTACCAAAACACTTGTTTGGGATAAGTGAGAATGCACTAGAATGTTCTCCATTGTTTCTGTTAGGCTGGTCTTCAACTAAAATGTTCTCGAACATCAGTGTTTGAAATTTATTTAAGAAGTAATCTGTAAATCGTAAATAACTTGCTGCCGAAACTATAATTAACGCACATTTCCGGCATTTTTCTGTTTTATGCTGGCATATGGTCTGTGTAAAAAGTGCTTTATTTTTAGAAAGTTGCTTTTATATTACCTTTTATCTCATTAGCAATAAGTTCTCAGATTTACTTATTAGCTGTCATTAGTTTTCGATTCCAAAAATCAGTTAAGCGTTCGTACTATTTATTATTTATACATAATCTATGTTTAGCTCGTTAGAATTTCTACTAATTTCTAAGAAATTGATGTTTCGAATGTTTATGTGAATTCCGAGAACAAGAGGAAACCTTTTATTACGTGTCGTCTTTTGAATATTACAAGGAATATTACAACTTCCACGAATATATTACCGGTAACCTTGGAGTTTTTAGGCATCCTTGTTAGTTATTCAAGAAATGCGAATTTTAGTTATTACAAACGAACGACTTCGGAGAAGATGCATTATTACCAATGAATTTCTTAATTAAGAATTCAACGATACTATCTTAATGTCTGTGCGTGTCTATTCGTTATATTTTATTTTTCTTTCTTTCTAAAGAAGGTAAAGTTGAAAAATCCTATATCAAAGAGATATTCAATATTAGGAATCTAATTCCATTTTGGATTTCGAATGGTCTTCTCATTTTATAGTATAGAATGTAATTTAAATCCTATTTGAAAATTTTTATTGCTTATTAAAAAAAATGCTTATTAAAATTTTAAATGTTTTTGTTTTTTTTTTGATATTATAGAAAAAAATATACTACATTTTCCCTTGCATTGTTCGTATTTTAATTACTTGGAAAATAATAAACATTTCTTTTATTTTTCTATTCCAACATTTTATTATTTACGAGTACGATATATGAGAAAATTCTTATGTATTGTTACATGGGGGTGGGGGCTCAAAAGTCTCCAAAATTGTCCTTACGTAATTAATGAATAGCCCCTAATGGCAGAAATGAAAAAAAATCAACGAATGGGCGGAGGCCAAGGTTCAGGAGGTTCATGAGATTCTGAACCAACTCTACCTATATGTACTTGAAAACAAGTGATATGATAAGTTTCAATTACTGCATTTGCATACATTTGAGGCCCATTTTTACTGGGTAAAACGAGCAAACAAACTTTTCGATCAGTATTGATTGTAAAAATATTCTTGGAACTTGGAATAACATCTAGTTATCAAAGAACGGTGTTGCTGTTGAACTTTTTATCGCCTTTATCACTTTCAGCGTGAGTCATTTCATTCGAAACGAGATAAACACACTCGAGTGTTGTTTGTGTACTGCTTTATACATCTCCTTCAAGCGATAGCAGTTTTAGATTTACTTAAATAGCCTGTTTTTCATTCACTGCAGCATTATTATTTTTCTAGTTTATTTGCTGTTACGATAAATGTGGAAAACCAACGGTAACTGCGTTTCAATTTTAAAGTTACGAAGATTAAATTGAAAGATAAAGGGTTAAAACGGATGATAACAACAATTACAGCTACTATTTCTTAAACCTATATCATTATGGTCAAAGGTTTCGCACAATAACCGCTGAATCCTAGGTTTCATTAACCCTTTGAAGGGTGTTAACGCTTTGTTCAAAACATTTTGATAGTTCGCTGGGTTTAGGACAATTTCCTCAGAAACAGCTGATATTTTCAGATAGACGTGGTTGAAAAACTACGTTGTACATGTTTACCAAATAATTATATGTAAACAAATTCTTTGTTTTGTGAACGTTTCGCCTTACCTGTATATAGATTTTGTGTTAGTTGTATAGTATGACGAAAACTAAGGAGTCGTTTTGAGTAAATTCATTGATTATGAGTGCTGAGACCTATTAAAGGAAGAAGTGTCGGGAACCTATGCGAGTATGGGTGGTACAGTCGTTTATGGTATTATGAACCGAACTCAACTCAGCCGAACTCAATTTTTTTTTAGATTTTTCCAATACAATGCATTGATGACCTTTTTCTTTTTTTTTAGTTATTTTTGAGCACCCAGTCAAATTGTAATGTTGTTGCGCCCCTGGCTACTGTAATTCATTTTGATAAGATAACTCAACTTGACCAGATAGTAGATTACGATGGCAATTATACCATTGTATTTTGCATTTAGATTATTCACAATAGAAAATAGGAATAATTCAGAGACAAATAGAAATTAATATTTATAAAGGGCATTTAAACTAGTAATTCAAAATAGGTATTGCATTTTTTCTTAAACAAAACTATTTCAAATAAATCGCATCTCTGATGCTATTAATGCATTCCGTTGTCATTCACGCCCATTGAAATCGATGTGGAATCGTGTCATATACACCCATATCCTTTTTTTTAACACTTTACCATTTCGTATTTGTACCCCATAGATTGCCTATTCGTATACGTACTTGTATTGTCCTATAATAAGACACTCGAATGCACAATTAGTTACATAGTCATAAATAGGCATCTAACGTATACACCTATATTGTAAAGTGTTATAAATATTTATCAAGCAACAATAATACGGCATTCAATTTAAATTTAAGCTGCAGACGTCAGGTTTGAATGGGCGAATATCTTCGCATTTTTCCTACCTCTAACCCCTCTAACGTGGTGTTATAGGCGGATGATGAGGAAAACGTGGATAGAAAAGGTTAGAACTGAAGAGGTATTGGAAAGAATAAGAGAACAGATGGCTCTATGGAAGTCAATAAAAAAATAGGCGAGATAGGTTGGTAGGACACCTTCTCAGGCATGAAGGTCTAGTCAGAGACATATTAGAGGCAGAAACAGGAGTTAGGAGGGGTAGAGGTAGACCTAGATTAGATT